AAAAAAAAATTAAATATACATACAGGCCCATTATGCAAAGGGATACCCATTTTTTCAAAAAATGGGGATTAGGTGTGGGGATCACTTCACATCGAACTTCAACGATCCGAGTCGTCTATTTTGTAAGTCTCGATTCATAGATCATTCTTGCAAAAATTCAATTTAATCCGAAACCATTTGCCTATTTAATTATCAAGATAAAATTTCATTGTTTCTTATATAACAAAATATTCGTTCATTTCTTTGAACCCAATTAGATGTCTTAAACATTTCTGATTTGGCTAATATTTTGTAAGGATGATCTATGAGGTGCAACTTGAAAAATAGACGGTTCGGATCGTTAAAGTTCGATGTAATGTGGACCCCACAACTAATCCCCATTTTTATAAAAAAATGGGGATCCCTTTCCTTAAAGATTTCCTATATATATATATACACACATATATATGTAGAGAGACTTTGAAAATGACTTTGGTGCCATATATACGTTTGAAATAACTTTTAAATAAGGTGTCATTTTGAAATCCTTTGGCTTAGTGTCTTTGTAGTGCTTTAGATGTCGAGTAACTTTGTAGCGTTTGCGTTGTTCATTGGTAGTTTTTATAATATAGTTCCTTGGGAGTTTAAGCTCCTCCATTTTTTATGGTATTAAAGCAGGTTAACTCATATGTCACAATTGTTCATGTACTTGCATGTCATCCAATATATATTGTCGCATTTTAAACTAAAATAACATCACACGTGAAGACGGCGTGTTAAGACTACGACATGTGACTTAACAATATTTTACTTGACACTACCCACATATTTCGAATTCAAATAATTGTAACTAGTTTTTGTGTGTTTTTCTAGCATCACTCGTGCAGAAACCATGCATGTGGCTGTGTTTTATCTAGGCCAACTTCCTTTGTACATGTACTCTGAGAATACAATGTATATCATCATCTCATCATACGTTTGCATCATACATAAAGCCAGATGGTTCCAAATGCATTTGTGTGCATGGAAACTTTTCTCACACTTTTTATGGCGTTCATAAATTTTAAATTTCATTCTTTAATATAAACATGCATTTGGATTAATATAATAACACAGATGAGCTGGGAGAGCATATTGAGACTTTGGTCGAGCCAGATCCCATTTCAAAAACTAAATCATTGAGGAATAAAACAAGAAAATGACAAAAATGATAATATTTCTTTTATATCTAGTCCTTTTTAAAACCTCTTATTTTACACAAAGCTTATCGAAAAACATGAACTAAAACATTGAGATGATGTAGCTCCAAATGTGTCTGCATTATTTAAATTCTGCACAGACGCACAGACAGACATGAACACACACACACACGCATACACGAGTACCAACTACTATATATTCAACTATTCGTTTTTGGTTACAAAATATCTTTTTATGGTAGTCATTTGATTTTGGTTACAACTTTTTTTCAAAATTGTCTGTAATATCTGATTGTAAATTTTGATGGAAAATTCAGTTGTGTTTGATCTGGTGAACACTACTAGTGTGCTTCACCATCTTAGCCTCAGCAGAACAATGCAGACAAAGATATATGTAATTAATAAAGACATTTCTTTCAATAATTGAAACAAAGTTCTCCTATTCCAATGGGAATACTGGTTGGTGTCAATGGCACCATATCAAGTGTGGATGTTGTTAGATACCCTCTCTTGTGCTTAGGTCTGTCTTTTTTCTTTGGACTAAATGAATCTCTTAAATAATTGACTTAGCACTATTGAGAATTTTAATAATAATAAACTATTCAAAATGTTCTCTCTTTAATTTATTTTTATTTTTTTAAAGAAGCAATATATTTAATAGTTATATAAGGATTACGTACAATGCTTAAGCTGTACAACATAAAAAGCTGGGTAGTATTTCATCCTACTTGCAAGAGTCGTCAACATGAAGAGCAATTGCAAAAATATGTGTAAAACCTTTTCTCTAATGACCAGTCTCAACATCACCTTCATAATGAATCTGAATTGCAAAGTCGAAATGATCAACATAGAATCAATCGCAAACCAACATATAGAAAAAGTCCTGCTTGAGCCACCAAAGCACACCTGCTCAAGCCATCGATACAAATTTGACCGCATAACATCATAAACCAATAGATCGATACCAAAAAAAACACAGAGTTACACCGAATTTGGTCCCATCTAATTATCACAGTGTGCATTCATCTTATTTAACTCAAAGTTGAGTTCCATGTTTTCATTTAAGTTCATGTTTGGTATTAATTAAGTACATACATAACTTTAAGTCATATGGTTCATGTATGATCATTAATAAGGGTTACCAATTCATGGAGGGTGCCCGCACTAGTTAAAGCCTTCCTCGTGTATGGAATGTATCATCCAGAAATTTGAGAATTATTTATGAACTTGTTTAGTAAAGAGGGTCTTCTTCCTATCCCTAAACTCTTATCTCTTTGGTGAATTTCTATAGTGGTGAGTTGTTTATGTTCACCTGTAGTTTCTCTTTGATCTCCATTATATGTCAGAGAGACTATAAAACACACATCAACCTCAACCATACTTATGTGTACTAATACTGAAAACAAACTAAACAGTACTAATAGCTCATTTGCTAATCCTTAATCAAAATGAGAGGAATTGAATTGAGGAGGAGTTGGAATAGAGAGGAATCATAATCAAATTCTTGTTGAAACTATTTACTAAAATTTTCTAGATTCGGAGTAGGAATGGTACTAATTCTATATAAGTTGTTACTAACTAATTCAACTGCATCCGAATAAACCATAGCAAGTGGCCCAGTGGTAAGGGCGCGGACTACGCTCCTTAATAAACAAAAAAAAATGTGGGAGGTCCCGGTTTGATCAATTTCTAAGTTGGTGAGTCTGCTTGATTGTGGTCATGGGCAGGGTGAAATTCTTCATAGCCTTTCTGGGAAGGGATGGATAATCATGGCTTATCACCAGTTGTCCCCCTTTTAAAAAAATAAATCGGAATAAAAACCAATATGATTACTAAAATGTCCTTATTCTAAATAAATTATTTTGTTTTTATTGTTTTTCAATTATTTTTTATACCAATTAATTATTAACCATATATAATAAATCTTCGATAGTTTTATTCATTTTTATCCATATATTTCAATAAATTATTTATAGTAACTTTTTATGGTTGGCAAATTATTTTATAATTCTTTTGGTAAATAAATTATTTTATAATTTTTTTGTTAATAAATTATTTTATGATTTTTTTTGTTAATAAATTATTTTATAGTCAAATTAAAAGAAAACATTTATTAATTTTCAATAATGGTAGCTCTGAGAGTTTTTGTGGAATGAAGGGCAATGTTGGAATAATCAAAACCAAGTGAAGACATAAATGGTAAAAGAAATTCATTCCAATTCTCCACATGTCCTGGAATTCAATCCCTCCCTCATCTAGGAGTTCAATTCCTCCAAAATGAGGAGTTGAATTCCTCAATTCATGTGGACTTCAGAGGAGTTGAATTCCTAAATTCATGTAGACTTCACATATATTTTGATTTTACAAAATTCAGTAAACAAAGAAGTATCATGTAATCAGAATTCAATTCTGTAAATTAATTTTGATTACAAATACGTAAACGCGTTTTATGAAAAAAAAAAAAAAAAAAAAAAAAACTCCCTACATGTTAGCATAAATATGCAAAACCCATTATTTAGTTTTGCATCACTCCATATCAATCTCATCCATCATCTTGTCCATATCAATCTCATCCATCATCTTATCACGGGCCCCAACTGAGAAAAGCGTTGATCAATGTGAAGTGACAATTAGAAACTAAATGGAGGACTAAATGTGAACAGTGACATAAAATTACACATACCATGTTATGTGATCATAAGATGATGTAGTTCATTGATGTTCTAGCATTACTATCCAATGTTCATATATATACTTTTTGTGTTAGATCATCTTTCTCCCATTACTAAATTTAAAAGAAAATGTGTTATATATGTTTGTGATATTTTTCTTGATATTTATAAAATCATTCATTCCCGTTACAAAGGAAGAAGAAAATTATCCCTTCTACACTTTGGTTCAAGTCAACATAAACACATCTTAGCACATGATTAAAAGCCAATTACTATCATTAATTAGGGTCATGCATGCTCTTGTTCTCTTGCTCTCTCTTGACATTGTAGTCAACAGTTATACCTTTCTATAGCTATAGGATCATTCTTCCAAGCTCTTTGTTTGAATTAGTCCAATTAGTTTTTGACCTTTTCTCCTCTGGAGAATTAATTAATTCATGAGAATTTTTTTAGTTTAGTAGCCTAGCCATCGTAAACTTGTGAGAATATGCGTAGTGCGTCTTACGATAAAGCAAAACAGGCGGCCAATAGCAGCTGTGTATTAGCTTTAGCTTGGAGGGGAGATTCATAATCTGATCAAATCTGCATCGATCCTATATATTTTTTATTCTTCGAACCATGCAAAAATGACAGACATGTATATATTCAACCATCTTGTATCTTGGTAAGTAATAGTTTAAGTGATAAATAGAAAATTAGAGTAAATAAATAAATAAAAAGCTGAATGAGCTTTTTAAGCCATTCCCTGATACAAATTAATCAATGGTTCAATCATACCACTGTAATTGTAGAAAGTTTGGGATAAAAGGGTCTACTGCCCATGATGTAAAACATACATTTCAAAATCAATATTTCTCTCTCTGTCTCTGTCTCTGTCTCTCATATATATATATATACAAATGATACTCCTTTTTACAAGGTTGCTTTTTATGCTTTCTTTTTCTCCTGCTTACTTTATTTATAAGAGATAGAAGGGAAAGGTTGGAGAGCATAGTAGTTGATTAGTTTAAAGAGTTTTTAGTTCTAAAAAAATATAAACTTTTGAAAAAGCTTTTCGTTGTGCATACAAATAATAAAGAAGTGAGTGAGCTGAGAGAGAGAGGAGAGATTTTTATTTTCTTTCTGGGGTTTGTGTGAAAGAGAACAGAGGAAAAGACAGAAAGTGTAGACGTCAGAGGTTTGGCCGTAGGGTTGGCTTCCCCTTCGGTTGTGGTTTTGGTGAGTTTGTTGTTTTGGACTGTGGCTTCAGGATTACAGAGGTATCTCTCTTATCATCCACATCTCTCTCTCTCTCTCTCTCTCTCTCTCTCTCTCTCTCTCTCTCTCTCTCAGTTTTTATCTTTTGTGTTCATATATAATCGTGTGGCCATAGTTTGGATTTTCTTGGTGTTTTCAAGAATATGGCTACTCAACTATATTGAAGGAGAGAAAAGTAGCTACCTACCTATACATACAGGATCTGGTTTAGCTGCTCCTCTCTCTCTCTCTCTCAACCTTCAGAAAAACAAAAATTGTCTCTTGGGTCGGTGCCAAACAAATATATGTAAGAAACAATCAAGGTGTGAGTGTGTGCATAGTGTGTGTTAATTGTTTCAAAGACTACAACTTCAAACATCATTTTTGCATCTTAGGTTTCCTTCTCTCTCTCTCTCTCTCTCTCTCTCTCTCTCTCTCTCCCTAGTAGTTTTCCTGGTTTTGTTGTCTTTTAATCAGATCCTGGACTCTCCTCACCATCAATCAGAGAAATCAAAATCCATATGTAATTACACACACACACATGTATATGGGGGACCTAGAGATGCAAGCTTTCTAGTAATCCAAGAAATTTGATACCCAACAAAAAAATGATGCTCTTCCAACAACAACACTCACAGCAGCTGGTGGATGAGAACATGTCCAATCTAACTTCAGCATCAGGTGAAGCTGCTAGCGTCTCATCTGGCAACAGAAATGAAATTGGCACCAACTTTTCTCAGCAGTTTTTTACCACACCACCGCAAGCTCAACCCGCTCTCAAAAAGAAGAGAAATTTACCAGGCAATCCAGGTATAATTAATTAATTAATCACAAATTATTATCAAAGCCTAATATTAATCACCTCTTAATCTCTATCTTTTCTTTAATTTCTGGATGTTTTGGTTGATTTTTTGGATCAGACCCAGATGCAGAAGTGATAGCCTTGTCCCCCAAGACACTCATGGCAACAAACAGGTTCATCTGTGAGATCTGCAACAAAGGGTTTCAGAGAGACCAGAATCTGCAGCTTCACAGAAGAGGGCACAACCTACCATGGAAGCTCAAGCAAAGAACAAGCAAGGAGGTGAGGAAGAAGGTTTATGTGTGCCCAGAAGCCAGCTGTGTCCACCATGACCCTTCAAGGGCTCTTGGGGACCTGACTGGGATCAAGAAGCACTTTTGCAGAAAGCACGGTGAGAAGAAGTGGAAATGTGACAAGTGCTCAAAGAGGTATGCGGTTCAATCGGATTGGAAAGCTCATTCCAAAACCTGTGGCACTAGGGAGTACAGATGTGACTGTGGAACCCTATTCTCGAGGTAAACTGATTAATTACCCTCAAATTCCTCATCTTTCCAAGCATTTACATTCATGAGAAATTGCAAGAACACTCTCTTAATTAGTAATTAATCCAAGCAATAACTAATCAGACACATATCTTCATCTATGAATTAATGGGTCATTAGAAAAGATGATTTCTCAGAAACCCAGATTTCAAAATTGTAAATTTAATTCAAATAAGTTACTTGGGTACTAATCAAGTTACATTCTTTATTTGGTTCATTGAGTGAACCAAGATTGAAACGTTTTAATGCACCTGGCCTGATGCGGACAGTCTTGTCCTATGTTTGGATATCTGAAATAGAAAAAAATGAATCAAAACAGAAAGAAATGAGAGCAAAAGAGGGAGTGTGTGGGAAGGAAGTCAATATATTTCTCTCAGCAAAAAATGTATTTTTATGCAAAAGCACTTTTATAACATGGTTTTTTGCTTTTGTTTGCTTGTGTTTTGTCTGCTTTTGGGGATTTTCATCACAACAGGAGGGATAGTTTCATCACTCACAGAGCCTTCTGTGATGCTTTAGCAGAAGAGAGTGCAAGAGCCATCACCTCAGCGAACAACCCACATCATCTTCTCTTCTCTCAGCAACAACAACAGATGAATCTTAACCAAGTGCAATTAGGGCACCAATTTAATCAAGACATCCACGGATTTTCACTGAAAAAAGAGCAGCAGAGTTTTACAACCCTAAGGCCAGATTTACCACCTTGGTTGGGCCCACCAAACTGTACCATTGACCTCTCCTCATCCTCCTCACTCTTCTCCCCAACCCACCACCAGGATTTATCCCTCGATGATTCCACAATGGCACATCACAAAACCCTAACCCTTGCCCTAGCAGCTTGGGCCCCACACTCCCACCCTTCCACCCTGCACCTTCCCCTCACATGTCAGCCACTGCATTGCTACAGAAGGCAGCTCAGATGGGTGCAACCATGAGCGGCAAGCATAGTACTACTACAGCAGCAGCAGCAGCTGCTGCAGCCTCTGCATCACCACAGCCCATGGTGAGGGTCCACCAGCACAGCCAGGGTCACATGTCTGAGTTCAGTGGTCACGTGTCTGCTTTTGCAGCAGCAGGGGCCAATGCTACTAATATCACAACTGGTCCTGCAGTCTCAGGTGTTCATCATCACCATGAAAACCAACATCATCAAGCGTCTCTGCTCCATGATATGATGAACTCTCTGTCTTCCGGAACTGGGTTCGAAGGGGCTGCTTTTGAGCTGGAGGCTTTCGGCTCCCTCCCTAATATTTTGAACAATGCAAAAAAAGGCTCGAACAATTCGACCCATTTCAACAAAAGTGGTAACGACGACGGCGGTGCAAACGGTGAAGGTTTGACCCGAGATTTCTTGGGACTGAGAGCACTGTCTCACAGTGACATTCTGAACATTGCTGGTATTGGAAACTGTGTAAGCAGTGCTAACGCTGCTGCTGCTGCTGCTGCTGTTGCTAATACTGCTTCCCGTGACCACCAAAAACCTTGGCAAGGTTAAGCTAGCTAGCTATCGGCTGAGCTAAGCTCTTACATACGGATCATGACCAGACATCTATTTTTGTTTTTTTACTTAAATATAATTTTGGGTTGTTAATTATATAGTCAATTTTCTCTTTTGTTAATTACTCTCAAGACTCGATCTTCTTCCCAAAGGGAATTAAAGGCCTCGTGATCAAACTTGACGAAATGCCAACATTTTGATGGCTCATGTGGCTTTTTTTACGAACTACGTAACTATTGCCTTTGCTTCAGTTTTTTTTTTTTTTTAATTGTAATTCATCATATTATGTGCTTCTGCATGATAGGGTTTAGGTTTTGTCAAAACAATAATATAATGTTTCATATTAAACTATCTTTTTTTGTATATAAGTGATAATCCACATTAAATTAAATTAAACTGCGGGAGTGAGGATTTAATTCCGAGGCAGAAGGAGCACCGCCCTACTATATAATCAACTTGTCTAAAGCCAAATTAATAATATACCCCTAGCATGTACAATAGTAAGTTTACTTTCCATCGATAAAAAAAAAAGGGGGTTTATGATCACTTCGAATCTCGGCCCTCGATTTTTAAGTCTATCATTTCTTAGGGTTTCTACCCTACAACAATGTATGGATACATTGATGATCTACTAGTCTATACCTTATGAAGAAAAGTTCAATCCGTCACATCTAATCGTTAAAATGGAACGAATTTTAGGTTTCAGAGAGCAAAATGATAACTTTTGAGTTACAAAGTGAGATAAAAATAGAGTTTCAAGGGGCGTAACTAAAAATAAGCCTAAAATGAACATAGGGTGTGGCTTTTATATATATCTTTCAGTGCTACGCATATTTTAGCTATTAGATTTGATTTTCACAACTTTTTAGATCTTCTATTTTCAATTATAAAATGTGATGAAGCCGTATTGAAGAAAAGTCCAAAAAGCTGATGTCTTATATTTGATCTAAATAAGAACATCCTTTACTCCCCATTCCATTCATGCCAGGCACAATTTAAGGATTTATTGCTGAAAATTTTATTGTTTTTTCTTAGGGTTTAGGGTTTTAATTCTCAAAGGACAAGGTTTTTTTTTTTTTATCCATAACGAATCAACCATTAGAGTGCATGATTAACCCCAATTTACACGTTGAATTATGTATATATTGTTAGCCTTTCCTGTCATATTACGATATTTATGAATACGTACATAGTCTTATTTTTTTTTTTTTTTTTTAATAACAAAATAATATTATCTACACTAGGAAGTGGGGAAGTGGGCTAAGCCTCACAATGGGAGTTAGCAATAATGTGGTTCAAATTCGCCTTTGACAAGAATTGAACTTAAAACCTCTTCCTTATAAATGATTCTTGCTCTTAATCAGTTAATCTGATATGGGTTCCACAAATATTAAAAACAAGATGTTGAATAAAAAGTTGGTTTGACTACAAATTAGTGTGAGTTAGACTTGAAATTTGTGCATCTAGTCACTTTCTTGTTAATAAACTAGCTATTTACTTTGCTAAACAAGAGTACCATGCAGAGATTCAGTAGGTATGTATACTTTTCTTTTATGTTAAATTTCACTCTCCTATATTTTGTTGGTACTCACCACTAAAGGCAAAATAATAAACTATACTAGCCACTAACCCCAAAATCATGGTGGTCCAATTTGTGGACCCACTTCAAAATTTGTAAAAAGTAGGAATTATTTGTCTTAATCATTGGATAATATACTTAAGTTTATATTAATTAATGATTCAAAGGTGTACAAATTATATGTTGATTAGCTTAATCCTTATTCCTCAATGCATGTTAACCCACATGAGCACTTCTGAGAAATCAGGAAGAGAGACCAAAAAAGAAAAAAAAAAAAAAAAAAGCTTTTGTAAGGCTGCTTGAGTGAGCTCTCACAACAAGTGAGATCAGTGCAACGATGCATCTAATTATTTTAATTAAAGTAGGAGACTTTGAATATGCGAATAAATGCATGTTAGGAAAAGGTAGGGGAGGGGGATATACGGATTATGGGTACAAAAAAGCATTGGATTCTCCAATACAGAAAGATTCGTAAAATGTGAGAGACAGAAAGGGTTTGTACATGTAACATGTAAAACCTGAGCAACTTAGCTTTCGTTTGGTTTAGATATTGCTGCTGCTGTGCTGCTCATATCAACACACAAAAGAGAGATGCTGTTTGACACCTGTTGTGGGTGCAATGCAAGTGGGATTCAATCCCGAGGGAACATCACTCTCTACTAAATGAGAAATGCTATAAAGTGAGGCTCTCCATATACATCGTCTTACCCTCATGTTTTTAACGTAATATTTTATAATATTAGTATGTAAATTGAAGTTAAAATGTAAGATGTCAGATAATTTCACTTTAAGAGAGTTTCCTTAGCATCTCTCTTACTAAATATACAAAATATTATACACACACACATATTTACATAGTACCTATAGTGTGGGAGAATTTTTTTTTTTTTTAAGTACGACGTTAAATTAAACCAAAATCCCTTTGGCAACCAGTACAACAATTATCAAAGTGTAGGGCATTAGTTACAATAAAATGAGGAAAAAATAGAGTGCTCTATAACAGAAAATTTGTAAGCCAAACAAACTAATACACTCAAAATTATCGGAAAGTTTATGGATGTCCCCATTCCACTACAATTTTCCAAGGAATTGAGTAAACACCATTCACACAATCAATCAAAATCTTTGAGTCTCATTCCACTACAATTTTCTAGTAACCAGCCCTAACTGCTTGAGGAAGGCCTAGACTGAGCGATGCAGCTGGTTAAAAACACATTAATTTGTAGAACCAAGAGGTTTAGCTCTAGCAATTATGGGAGAACCCATCTGAAAACGAATAATGAAACTTGCAACAGCCGACTCATTTAGAACAGATACATCAAAGTTTCATTTAAAAAATCTTAGGAAGGAGGAAACCACCGAATGATCTCTGGAGAAAATTAGAGAAGTTGAGAATTGGTTTTTGGATATGCATAAATTTAAAAAAAAAAAAAATTAGCAAATTACACACAAAAATGATCATATTTATGTCCTAACGTAGAAAATCAATATGTCATTATATTTACTTCTATTAACTACATTGTAAAAGATGAAGAATTGCTACAAAGGAAGATGAAGATGATAGAGAGAAAAACAAGAAAGATTGTATTGATTAAAATGGAGAAAATGTATACAAAAGCACTTAAGGAAATGATAGCTATACAATCCCTTATATAGCCATATAACCTAATTACAATAATACCCTTCTAACTATACTAACCAATCTTATCCTTATGACAACCTACCAACACATTTCAACTAACTATATTCTTCATTACTAAGTAACCATGTCATCAATAATGACTATGGTTAATACTCCCCCCTCAAACTGAACTTGGTGTAGCCAAGTGAAGGTTGAACGAGCTAGAACACTGAAACTGATCTGGAACTGCAAGACAAAAATGACTGCAGGGGCTGTTGTCGTTCATCAATTCTGCCATGTTGGCTATTTCTCATTTATTGGTGGTGGTTCTGTGATGGCACAGGATGTTCCAAAGTACATGATGGTTGCAGGAGAAAGAGCTGTGCTTCGTGGTCTTGGTCTGAACATACCCAACAAATTTTCGACTGTGAACTGAGAAGCCATAGTTGACACTGCCAAGAAACTAAATCTACCATGGAGAATGACACTCCAAAGCACAACACAAATCTCACACTTCTACTAAAAATACCAAATAAGCAGACTAACACTCCATGAACACAAATCATACTGCAACTTAGGAGACTGACACTCCATGAACACAAAGCATACTGCAACTGAGGAGAATGAAACTCCAAATCATACTGCAACGTAGGAGAATGAAACTCCAAGATTCATAGAAAGAATGACACTTTCTGCTTTAAATTGACAAGAAAAACTAATACTTGCAGAGATCAACACATCAAGACCACAGCTTCACTTCAATTAAACCTTGAAAGTACATCAAAGACCACAGCTTCAAGAAATAAGCAACAAACAAAACCAGTAAACGAATTCACCTGATTGACCAAAATTGCACCACCAAATCTCCAAACAACCATACAGCGCCGTTTCAGATCACCAAACACGCAATCTTCAAGCAGCACCCAAACCAGCGAAAGTCGTCACCAAATCATCAGAATCGTAGAAACTCCCACACGATGTTTGATGCAGAAAGAATAACACTGTCTTGTAAAGATTGACATTTTCTTGACTAAAAAACTTCGTATTTCAACACATCACCATATCCAATACAATATATGCAGATGAACACAAACACCCAAATCAACACATATATCCCAGATCAATCAGAAATATCCCACTTCAACATCTTGAGAGTTTAGCAACCCAGAAATCAAAAAAATTGACTATAATCTTCGAATTAAAGCCTAGAAGAATCCAACACTCTGATTTCGCACCTCTGCAACAACCCTTGAAGACGATAACAGCGGAAAGAACCAAATTTCTAGATCATCAATCTCCTTGCGGCATTTAGTTTCATTCAGACATTTTCACAAACACCATATATGCATAAAGAAGATGACAGATACAAGAAACAACCCGACAAAGGCCAAGATCCCACTGTCCAATCAGCAACACGCATACTCGTTTCTCATCAGCACGAGAACATGAAGAAGAAGCATTGAATCAACGGTGCAAAGAACTCAAACTCTGCTCTCAGTCGCATAAACCCCAAATTTCCCGGAAATTTCTGCACTTCGATCGGTTCTCTGCTCGCAGCACTCTCTGCGGCGTGCAGGACCAAAACCCATCTCAGAAGCTCACTGTACAAATTGAACAAAGCCTGCAGAAAACCCTGTTTCCCAGAAATCCAAACAACCCACTTCCATTCTTCAAGATTTCAGCTTTGTTGTCTTCAATGGCGACTTCTAATGACCACACTCGGTGGAATCCAAGAATCCCGCAGCACCCAGAACAACGCTCAAGTTGAAGACCGCGCTCGCTTCGCCGTCTAAGCAACAACGGCAAGAACCGGGATCACTTAAAGAAACCGTTGAAAAAGCAGAAGAACAACAGCAAGAAGAAAGAGAATCGGGTCGATGACCGGGTTGACGATATGATCGCTCTAAATTGTGATCTGGGTTTGAGCGATTTGCAGGTTTTGGTAAAACCCAGTTCGTTAGATTCGTCAAATGTCGAGAATTTGAAGCCCACAGAAGCTGACCATGGCGTTGAGGCTACGGTGTTTGAAAATTGTGCGGACAAGCTTGAATTGAACATCGGTTTGGAGCAGGGAGCGATTGGAGCAGGGAGCGAGTGATCTCGTTGATTCACCCAGTGATCTCGTTGATTCACACCTTCTCGTCGATTAGC